GTCCGCCTCTTACTGAGACTAAAATTGATCAGAGGGATCACGTGCACCCAAGTTTTCTTTTTCTTTCGTTTCTAACTTTATAAAATTTCCATCAATCTTTCTAATTGTTTTAGCATCTATTGATGATTATATCTTAGGTATTAGAAAGGGTATTTCACTTAAGTATTAGTAAGGGTGTTTTTGAGATTCTGTTATTCCTTCCGCATTTATTAGCTTGGCTCCTGTGAAGAAGTTTCTATTGTCAACTTTTTGATTATCCTGAAATACAGTTTTTTGTGTGGAAGAGAAGTCAACCGCTTGGCTCTTTCTCTGTATTTATCCCTTTTCAGAATAATGACTTGGTATTCTAGCAATCTCCAAAGGTAACTAAAGAATTCTTTTCCTCTATGTGTTATTATAAACTCACAGTTGTTAATATCTATGGTTTTTTTTTTCCAGTTCATTTGTCTCTGAAGTCTCTCTCTCTCTTTCTGATGCTTAAATTTCCCCCCCACCCCGAGGGTAATGGGAGCCCTAGCACCCCACATCTAACCAATCACCAGTCCCCTGGGTTCTTCCTCCTGCCCACCTAAACCGTCACCACTGTGGTCCATGTTTCTACCGCGCTTTTTGCCCCCTCAGGAAAAAGCCAGAAGGCTGAACATTTGAAAACCTACTTGATTCTATCATTCCTTCTTCCTGGTTGTTCTCCATGGCTCTTTGTATAAAGTCTAAACCCTTGAACCTGGACTTGAGGGCTCATTAAATCTGGCTTCTGCCTGCCTCCGCTGGTTCAGCAGCTGCCACAGTTTTCTGACTTGAGGGTCTGTGGTTCTTGCGTGCTGCCCTCCTGCCCTTTCTCTCCCAGGCCTCACACATAGTTCTCCATCAGTTGCCTTCCCCTTTGGTTAACTCTCCCTCTACCTAGGCCTTACCTGAGCCCAGCAGTTCCCAACCCTGGCTGCACATTATAGCATCTGGGCAGGTTTAAGAAATAACAATGCTGGGGCGGTGCTTGTGGCTCAGTGGGTAGCGCGCCAGCCCCACATACCAAGGGTGGCAGGTTCTAACCCATCCCCAGCCAAACTGCAACAAAAATAGCCAGGCATTGAGGCAGGTGCCTATAGTCCCAGCTACTCGGGAGGCTAAGGCAAGAGAATCATCTAAACCCAGGAGTTGGAGGTTGCTGTGGGCTGTGACACCATGGCACTCTACGAAGGGCAATAAAGTGAGACTCTGTCTCAAAAAATAAATAAATAACAATGCCCTAGCTCCTCCAACGATCAATTAAAATCTGAATGTCTGGGGGTGAGGCCAAACTTTATTGTTTTAAAACTTGCACCAGTGGGACAATGCCTGTGGCTCAAAGGAGTAGGGCGCTGGCCCCATATGCTGGAGGTGGCAGTTCAAACCCAGCCACGGCCAAAAACTGCAAAAAAAAAAAAAAAAAAAAAAACTTGCACCAGTGATTCTGATGAACAGCTAAGATCAAGAACCATAGTTTGGGGTGTTTCATCCTTTGGGAAACTT